CTGGTACATAAGAGCCGTTGAAAAGTGCGATGGTGGTTGGAATCGGCAATTTCGCTCGGAATTAATTTTCTAGAGGTACATCTTTACCAGGGGTTGTAGCCAAGTTGGTTCTGTAGCGTATCGATTGGGTGAGCTATTTTGCGTGCGACATGAGCAGTGTTGAGTTGTATTGGTGCTTACTTTTCTCTGTACATTGCATTCAACACATAAAGAAAATCAAGATGACCGTTTCATGACCTAGGCATCATTCTGCATCAAGGTACTTTATATGTATATGTTTGTATGTCTTGTCTGTCTGTCTCTTCATTCTGAGAATATGAAATTATGTTCATGCTATATTATGTATATTAAGAATAAGTGATGGCTCCCCTCTCCCATCTAATCGGATATGATATAAAGGTACAGCATTTTCATCGTGCATTTAAATTAAACCTGCATATTTATGTGATGCCTATGAAAAATTTTGTACATTATTTACTTAAATTACTTTTTAATAATAGGTTTAGGCATTGTGTCGGCTTCTAAATGTCAGTATCCCCCAAAATAAAAGGGAACAATACGCGAGTAAACAAAAGAGTATAAAAAAATAATTTGTCACTGCTCTTCCTCGTATACCAGATAAAAGATTTCAGGTGATCACGCCAGGCTGTTTCGTTGCATTTTGACAATTTCAATCTAAGTTATCATATCAGAAAAAACGAAGAACGATACACTAGTTATTTGTGTAAGCATACACGCTTTATATTTTTTGTGGAGTGGGGTCGATTTGAGTTGAATTGGAGTTGGGTTGAGTATCATATAGGCAGGGTATACTTCCTGGATGTAGAACCTTATACACTTGTTGTTGTTGTTGTTGTTGTTGTTGTTTTTGTAGGGTTTAACGCCATTTTTCAGCACAAGATAGGCTATACATGACAGCCAGTATAAATGGTGGAGGAACAACCGACCCATGAAAAGCTTTCTCACATATCTACCAAGGCTAAATCCGTGACTCGAACCAACACAGAGGTGAGATGGCAGTAATCCTTAACGGTGAGCGTTTCATACCACTTGGCCACACGTAGCACCTTTTTGTGTTCTATAAGTAAACACATTTTACTTACATGCAATAAAATATTCACATGATTATGACAATTTTTTTTATAGACCCATAGAAAGAAATTTTGTTGTCGTCAATCTATAAATGTAATAATCAACCAAAACATAATAACGGTCACGTACAGACGACTGATTTCACGTTGAGACTCATATTATAAACCTACGATATAGTCTATCTTTATATCAAATACTGCCTACACTATTATGTCACAGTAACCAACGAAGTCGTATGGTAAGTAACAATATATCAATATATTTTAACTTTACTTGCATATTTGGGGGAGGGGAAGGGGCTGTCATTGGCAGTGTGAGGGATTAGGGACTAAGTCTTCAAGGTCCCAGACAAAGGTGCACCATCGGGCTCTTTTATATGCCTGATTTTTTTATTTTTTTTTAGTATTTCACCTCATGTTAGTGTATTTAGGGCATTTCTTGGCAAAACTTAAATTTATTAGGGGGAGTAGGTAGGCTGGCAACTTACAAAGTATGTTCTCTTTATATCTAAGGGGTACCACTTAACAACATTTAGAATATTGCCCCTGTTGGGCTTTGGTACGGACGCCACGAAAATTCATTGCTTCCGGGCGCCTCAAACCCTCGCGCCGCTTTGGGCGGGCATATGTACATCTGTTGAGATCAATTAGGTTCATGTTAGGGGCGAGTGTTGTTGTTGTTGTTGGGTTTAACGTCATTTTTCAGTACAAGATAGGTTATACATAGCGGCCAGTATAACTGGTGGAGGAAGAACCCTGGAAAAGTCTGGTCAGGGTTTTTCCCATACTCACGTTAGCCGAGCATGAGACTCGAAATCACGCAGAGGTGAGATGGCAGTGATCCAGAACGGTGAGCACTTTAGATTTTCGGCCACCCTCAGTGGCTAGTGGTGGTTGTTGTTGTTGCTATAGAGCTTAACGCCATTTTTAAGCACAATAGAAGCTGTACAGGCGGCCAGGATAAATGGTGGAGGAAAACCCAGGAAAGAATCACTGACCCACGATAAGCTAGTTGCAAGCTTTCTGACACACCCACACTGGCCTACCCTGAGACTCAACACACGCAGATAAGAGTGGCGAGTGATAGCGATATGCGTATAGAAACAATACGTAATAGGTCATGGGGGGGGGGAGCACTAATATCAGCTGTATCCGAATGACTGTTACCAATACTCTGATCAGCTGTATCCGAATGACTGTTACCAATACTCTGATCAGCTGTATCCGAATGACTGTTACCAATACTCTGATCAGCTGTATCCGAATGACTGTTACCAATACTCTGACATCCGCTATGCATTATGGGTTTTTAAAAATGTAAATTGCAGGATTACGGGTAATCTTTACAATGTGATTACGCTATCTCCATTGCCAAAGGGTAAAAATATATACCAGACCCTAAAATGAAGTTTTCTCTCAAATTTGAATAATTATATACAACTTAAGGTATATGTTGGATAATACTCTGGTATATTGTTTTCAATAATATTTTATTTTGTCACTGTTCATGCCTTTAACGAACAAAGAATTCGAAAGAGCTGCAATACATTTTACTCAGTAGATTTATAAGCACAAGGACAATATGTGCACTGGTTACCTGCCTAGGTTTGACCTGTCATGGCATGCATGGGATTGTAGTGCTAGTCCTTGCCACTGCTCCAATTCACCGACACAAAGCACCGTGTTATTATTATTAGAGGGGGGGTCATCCATTTTTAAGAATGTTACGTTCGTATGGACAACCAAGTGCATTCGATGAATATAAAAGTGACAATATAAAAGAGCAACATTTTTTTTAACTAATTTAAAAATCGCTAATTGCCAACGATGAAGTAGGCTTATGTTCTCATAATTCACCTCAGTTGAGTCTTGAATGGTTTAGGTTTTCCTGTAGCCTATTTTTTAGTAATATGGGCAAGCAAGATGCCTAAACAGGCTATGTCTACGAGTTTTGTATTTGCAAATCAATGAACTATATGGGTGTATGTGCGTGTGCTCGCACATACTTGCCGAGAGAGAGAGAGAGAGAGAGAGAGAGAGAGAGAGAGAGAGAGAGAGAGAGAGAGAGAGAGAGAGAGAGAGAGAGAGAGAGAGAGAGAAATTCAGGCCTATGTCATGTACACGGATTACCTTTTGTGGTATAATCCTCGCAGTCACCCGCATAAGGAGTGTGAAATTTCAAACCATATGAATAGCACACGCCTTATTTACCCCCGCTCTACAACTTTACTGTATTTATCCTAGCCTCATGTTGCAGGTAATTACCATTTTGTCGTTCTACAGTTACAGGGGAGGTATATAATTGTAAACAGTACTAATTCTCTCATTCCTTGTTCTGAAAAACATTTCAACGCACATAAGGAATCCTTTTTACACATTTTTGCTTGTATTCGGCTAGGGGAAAAATAGAAAAATATAGACCTTTTATTAATTTTCGATAGGAAAGCAATTTCACAATAGAAGTTATTTAAATTTAGTATGCTGATGGATAGAGAAATTAGATACGGTTTGAAATAATGACTAAAAATTTCAAATTATGTAGCGAAAAAGCTTTTTCTGATCATTCGTTCTGAGTATCCCTAAACATATTAGATAGTATTGTTCGATGGGCAAATACATTTAGCACGTGATGTTAGATTTATGGGAACAGTCTTCTTGTGATGATTTATATACAGATATTGTACCCATTTTGTATTAGACGTAATCGGTATTATGTCTACATTTCAGGTACAAGTACTTTTAGAGAAACATGCTACACATTTGTAAAACATCTTTGCTTAAAGGACAAAAACACATGAATTTTTGTAGAAACCTCGTTAGTAAAATGTAAAACAAAGCGGATGCCATCCCCAGGTTGTCCAATTTTATTAACTTGTTTGTTACATAGCGAATCCTTTGCAAAGATAGTCAAAACAGTTTTAGTAATGCGTTTGTTTTTCACATGCAAATATTTTCTAAACGATTTCATTTCATACTTTCATACATGTTGTAAGACACTCGCTCACCCGTTAGACGCTTGGGTTAAGATAAAACAAACCTTGCGTTAATTGTTGGTTAAAGTTTCATTTGGTTATATATATATATATATATATATATATATATATATATATATATATATATATATATATATATATATATATATATATATATATATATATATATATATAATCCTAAACTATTTCGTTGTTTATAATCACGCGTGCGAGATTTCATAAGACCACTTGTTTGAGATTTGCGTCTAAACGCTAAGAAGACTTTTTCAGATATTCCTGAGTATCGTAATAACATTATTTGACCTTGAAAAAGAAAATATAGGGGATAAACACTCGGCATCTTCCGTCATATTTGTTCTCATCTACTCCTGTCGCAGAGACTGTTGGTTCCTAAACCGAGAACGAGGTTCTTGAATGTTCATGGACAACGTTCTTGGCGTTACTGCGAGATGAAAGACATGAACAGTTTACTAGGGTCAATAATATTTGTCTTGAATTTTTCCTAAGCACACGGGGCTCATTGAAAACGAAGGCGACCTACACTTTTTCTGTTATAAAGCGGGCAACTACAAACATTTTACATCTTCCAGTAGAAGGGGGTTAACAAAAAAATGTTTGAGAATGGACTTACTACTTTCTCGTACATAAGTATATGTACTTTTTAATGACACATAGTTATTATATAAATAAAAATATAGGCTATAAAAATATAGGCTCCTATTTTCAAAATTAATGTCAAACTTTTTTTTTAGGGGACTGAACAAACGAAATTTGGTAGGCACGTTTTTATGCTTATGTCATCGTTCGGATTAGATATTTATATCATCGTAACAGTTTTTGAAATCGTTCTTTTTTATTTTTTTTTACCTTGTTGTCTCTAGTCGAGGCTTATGTTTCACCATTACAAATTTAATCTGACCACTCTGGTGGCCTGGTGGTTAGAATATCCGCCTCGGATGCGGGAGGTCTGGGGTTCCAACCCCGGCCAAGTCATACCAAAGATTTATAAAAATGGTACTTACAGCTGCGATCAGCATTAAGATGTTAGTATTTGAAACTGTAGGCCTGGTGTCAGGATAATGTAACTGGGTGGGACATCATGCTACATGTCTGCGGCATGATGTCCTAGTGCTAGACATCATTATAAACTGTCACACTGCAGACGTCGTAGCTATATGACTGAAAAATTGTTAAAGCTATGTTAAAAATCAAAATCACAGACAGACAGACACACACACTATAATCCCGGTCATATGCGTTGTGTCTTACAGTGAACAGGTATATATTCCTGTCTGCAGTATACGAACAAAGACATCACATAACGGCCTTGTAATGTTTTCATAACTGGAATAAAAAAATTAAATTTATTATTAGTATCATATTTCATAATTAGATAAAATCTCGTAAATGCGTTATGTTATTCTGTATCCACAGACACACAGAAACACACACAGATGGTTCCGAATTTAAAACATATCCTGAAATCATTGGCACGCACGCGTGACTTAGAGCTACCAAGAAATAAATACAAATGTAAAGCAGCCATTGTAATATGTTGACCTGGATTAAATATTTAATATTACGCACAGAAAGTATGAACCACTCAGGAAAAGGCCACAAACTGATTTGTCATACGTGTGTTTGTCTTGTTTTAATGTTAAAATAAGATACGGTTAACATTTGGTTCTTTTATGCTGTGGGATTTATGTCCAGCAGGCACAGTAGTTGTACCAAAATATATAACCATTGAAATATAATTTTCATGAATTTGACTTTGGCTAAAACTTTTTAATCATAGTTTGTCTGGTTGTAACATGCCTCAATTCATCAAGACGCATAAAATATGATGCAGAAAAATCATGCCTAGCAACGACGCTAAGTATATTTTATTTAGGAATTAATCATACAATTGAAAGAAAGAACAAAGTAATAGCCGGAAGGACAATCACATTTCTAGGCAGCTTTAGATTCGTCAGATGGTTTATAGAATCACTATCTAAAAATGAATTAACATTAAGGGCTAACACATTTACACAGGCACTGAAACATTATACAAATATGATACATGTATATTTAATGACCCATATTGTTAGAATGCTTGATTTGTAAGTTTAACGAAGTAACTGTCACCAAAAGAAAGGTTACACTCATCTATAAAAAATTGGAGATCTTTAAAATGTCATGAAGGATGCTTTAAATGTTGTCATAATTTGATGCGGTGTCATACTTTGATGTTATGTGTCATACGTTTATTTTATGTGACATACTTTGATGCTATGTGTCATACGTTTCTTTTATGTGACATACTTTGATGCTATGTGTCATACGTTTATTTTATGTGACACATTTTGATGCTATGTGTCATAGTTCATGCTGTGATGTTCCTTAATTTGCTTGTTTAATTGTGTGTACATGAAAAAAAAATCACAATGTAATACATTTCTATCTCATTAAATATATTTACAACATCCTTATAGGAACTAACAGTACACTGAGGCATAGAACAAAGATAAAGTTGATAGTTTGTTTCAAAAAATCTAAATTCCATTTGTCCACAGTTACGTGTTAATTCCATTGGTCTACAGTTAAGTGTTAATTCCATTGGTCCACAGTTAAGTGTTAATTCCATTGGTCCACAGTTAAGTGTTAATTCCATTGGTCTACAGTTAAGTTTTAATTCCATTGGTCTACAGTTAAGTGGTAATTCCAATGGTCCACAGTTAAGTGTTAATTCCATTGGTCCACAGTTAAGTGTTAATTCCATTGGTCTACAGTTAAGTGTTAATTTCATTGGTCTACAGTTAAGTTGTAATTCAATTGGTCCACAGTTAAGTTGTAATTCCATTGGTCTAAGTGTTAAGTGTTAACACAGTTAAGTGTTAATTCCATTAGTCTACAGTTAAGTGTTAATTCCATTGGTCCACATTTAAGTGTTAATTCCATTGATCTACAGTTAAGTGTTAATTCCATTGGTCCACAGTTAAGTGTCAATTCCATTGATCTACAGTTAAGTGTTAATTCCATTGGTCTACAGTTAAGTGTTAATTCCATTGGTCCACAGTTAAGTGTTATTTACATTGGTCCACAGTTAAGTGTATTTCCATTGGTGTACAGTTAAGTGTTAATTCCATTGGTCCACAGTTAAGTTTTAATTCCATTGGTCTACAGTAAGTGTTAATTCCATTGGTCTACAGATAAGTGTTAATTCCATTGGTCTACAGTTAAGTGTTTTCCATTGGTCCACAGTTAAGTGTTAATTCCATTGGTCTACAGTTAAGTGTTAATTCCATTGGTCTACAGTTAAGTGTTAATTCCATTGGTCTACAGTTAAGTGTTAATTCCATTGGTCTACAGTTAAGTGTTAGCGTTTGGTAATCAAGGAATTAGATAATGCAGAAAGCACGAATGTCTCAGCATAATTCAAGCAATTAAAGTTGGTGTATACTCTATAAATAAAGTTAGCCTTTCTTGTTCAAATATATTTTGAGTTTCTATTTACTATTGTTTTTCCATATTTACATCCAACTCGTTTGTTGATTTATCTTTCTAGTAGTTGCTGTTCTACTTTATTTCAATTTCGTTCTTGTTGATTTTAACCAATCTTTATATCTAAGGTAGTTATTACTTCGTTATTCCATTTTCCTCTTTTAGTTGTTCTATGTTGCACCTATAACAGCTAACAACTGATTATGCCCAATATATGAAGTCTTTTGACATAGCATGCAAAATTGATTGTACCATTTATTTAGTTTTATTTTATTTCTTTTCTTTAAATTCAGTTACTACTAAATACCAACCAAAAGTCTAACAAAACTAGTATCCTCAAAAATTTTATAATTACATACCGTTAAAGGTGTGTTGTATTTTCCTTGTTCTGTTTCGTATAAAACTCTTTTAACTGTTTTGTTGTAGTAATTATTTGTAACGGAAAGTTTTATTGATGTGTTGATATTTTACATTGTAAAAATGTTGTGCAGAAATGTGCATAGTTGATTGTGCATTTGTCATGATTACATTACCATCTTTTAATGAAATTTACAAGAAATTTAAATGCCCTCATGGTTAAGTCAACATATATTTTTTTATTCAAAACGTTTTGGACACGTTTAGTATTTTATTTGATTCTCAGCTTTTCTGAGATGTAGATTTACTGATTGCTCTGAATGTTGTCTCTTTCTTTCGGTTGTTACTAGCATCCATAACTACACTAGACTATTGTCTACATTGTAGTTGTCTTGTCAACTTTTCCATTTTGCTATTTACCGATCATGCGTTGGGAAGTACTTTCGTTTCTGTCTGGTTTAGTCAGCATCAAAAATGTACTTGTTTGTATTCTTAAACTCCTTCATTCGCTACTGCACTGTTGTTTGCTTTTTTGTTGCATTTATTTTAAATCGTCTAAGTTCTTGAAATTCATTATCTTAAACTAGTAGCTTTCATATTTTATAATAAATATTGTTATATACTCTCATCCAGTCGTTTCCGAAAGGGAGATATCGTTTATTTAATGGCATAATATTTTCATCCGGTTTGCAGCTGTTAAACGACTGAAAATAGTTTTTCCATTTGACAAGTTCATAAATTTAAATCCATGGTTTGTTGATTCGATGTAGATAGGCCTTGTAAGGCTTGCGAGGTCTTTGGATTGTAAAGTAAATATAGCTTAATATGAATTTGTGCATTGCTTAAATAAAATTACTTAATTTATTCATTCTTCATACTCCACTTTTAAAACTCTTTTGCATTACAGGGTTCTGCCATAATCATTATATACATGTATATCTTTGAAATCATAAATGTAACACTTTTATGATCTTGTGTTACGACTCTTTGGTCTTAAACTAAGTATCAGAAAGAGCAAAAAACCAACACATTTTGTATAGTTAAACGATTAGCATATTTACTTTTGACACAAATAGAAAAGATTGAAAGAACATACCGAATTTTGAATAAAATCCCAAATATTCCTAAATGTTCAATGACCTGTTCAAATGTATGAAGTTCCAAATGAATTCAAGTGGTACTCCAAATTTATTCAAATATTGAATGTGCCAATGTGCTGGTGGCCAGGAATGCACACAAATCGAATCAAAAAGGTCCTTGAATGAATTCACAATAATTCCAAAATAATGATTTTGTCCAAGTATTAAGGCGCACTTTGGAATTCGAGTGAATATGTTGAATAAATAAATCCACCCAAGTTAAACATTGAATGCAACAAAACACTGATTCACTTCTGATATTTCGGCAGTAATGAGTAATGTTTAAAGAAACGACATTGATATATTAAAAGCCAAGACACAAAAATATAGTCTGGATATATGCCAGCTACTTTCTAAAATAAACAAAGTTGTTAGAAAGTTTAAGATTTTCCAACATATCCACAATCGCCGAATATTAGACTCGACACCACACAAAGGTGAGATAGCAGTGATCCGTATCGGAGAGCGCTTTATATCACTCGGCCACTCGGGGTGCCGTTTCTATTGGTTGATGGAATGATCCTAAGTTAGCAAATAACCTGTTCCACCGACGTTTTACAGAGATTCATTAATTAGCAATGTATGAGTTTAAAACATGGTTTACAGTTAACATTTAACCTGCTTAAGACAAGTTAAATGGAAAAAGACATGTCAAAAAATGTATTTTTTACTACTAAAATTTATATTTTGATAATTTGCATGTAAATGAATTTAGTAGAGCCAACATAATATAAGGATCTGACTTGATACATGCAATTCTAGTGCCAGTAAGAACAATTATATTTCCTAGAAACGTAAAACTAAATGTTGGCATTCACTGACCTTTGAAAGATCGATCTTCAGCCGTCTGTCTATTGCAAAACAAAACTCATTTCATCAGTTTCTCCAGCCAAGTTTTGAGATGCCATTCTGAAACGGATTTTAATCAATAACATACAACTTCTAAATCAGAATAAGAACGACACAGAGTTGAAAATCAATATGCAGTATTTCCTGTAACAATTTATCTTT